CTTAAGTAATTTCTCCTACCCAAGCTTAGCACGTGACTCTATAGAATAGTACATTTTGAAAGTTTCTTTATAACTTCTGTAAAACTTTTTGAGTGAGGAGATGCTCAACAATTAGACATACTTCAACTTATATTTTTTATTTGAACTGCGCCTGTAACAGAAAAGATGTCATAAAAGTCTGGACGCGGGTGGGTTTTCTTTACTGTTGTCTGAGCTCATCGGCATCTGCTGAGTGACATAAACAGACTCCTGCAGCAGCTGTGTCTCAGTCTAGATCCAGCACAAAGGTTACTGCTATTAATACACACCAACACATTCAAACACATAATACTGCATGATACACTGGAGCACATTTCTCATCATTGTTGAATATTTGGGGGCTGATTGTGTTTGATCATTTAATTCTCTGCTCCCCATAAAGTGTGCAGCACCAACAATCAGAGTCATATTAACAGCAAGGAATGCCATGAGTGGTACCTTTCCTTACCCTTCAGTCTATTCCGGAGGAGCAATCTGACACCTAGAGTCTGAACCGGCACAACTAGGCAGGAGCCGGCTCTGTAGTTATATATGTTTCTATCGGTGGAGGTGTCAAACATAGAGAAGTCTCAAGACGCCTCTCTCAGGACTGGACTCAGCGCTTACTGGATTGTGCTTGTTGCAAAAAATGTTTAGATTCTGACAAGTGAAATGTGCTGCTAAGGGCCATACTGGTTTGAGTGTGGTCTTGCCTCTAATGAAGAATATACTGGATTTAATGACAGAGTTCTGGACTGAAGACGCTGTCAGATGGATTTCACAGAGTGTGCACATTTGCCGTGTCAGGAATGCTGAGGCCAGCTGTCACTTCATTTGTGTTGTACAGTGCAGTCCTTAATGTCTCTGCAACAGCACCAAGTCGACTTCCACCAGGGGATCTTAAGCTATTTTTATTAATCTTCTTCCTTGGATGTAAATTATTTTGCAAGTGGATGCAAATATGTCTGTGATATTGGTGATCTAACTAAACTGCCTTACACCCTGGTTAGTACCATTTTTTCACCAGACTCAATAATCCACAGGAACTAGTGTTTTCAGAGCCTTCTGTGGACTGTTGCATTGTCAGATTGTGTATGCTTTAAATCTGAGGAGAAACCTCCACACAGAGCAGAGACCCTTGAATTGAGATGTTCCTCAACACAATGCTGGTGGTCCTGACGGACCTGGCAGCCCGTTTTCTTGGAAACACAGTTTTTCGGCAGCACTTCCACCTGCTGCTGTCAGTGCTGCTGATGTTTGGGCCTGGACTTAGTTTTTGGGTGTCCCAGCATAGCATCTTTGCCAAACGGACCCACTTCCTGTACAGGTGATGGCTGTTCCTCCTCTCACAGTTTCACTTTCACATTTGTGAAAAGCATGTTCATCCACCTGGGTGGCCAGGTATATACACAATTGTTAGTAAGACAATTACATCTGTTAATTTAAGATATATAAAGTTGCAATTATTTCAAATTATTTAGTCACCTCTTTGAGTGTTAAGATTTCTTCTAACTCTTCATTGCTTGTTTGTGCTCCAGGATTTTCCTACGCTCCGGGTGGGGTTGGACCTCCATTTTTGTGGGCTCCTTTGTGTTTGTCCTCTCCTTCTCCATTCGCCGCTCTTTTTCTCTGTCTCTCCGGCACCTGTCCCGCCTCCTGCTGGCAGGAGGGTTGTGGCTTGGGTTCTGTAAACTCCTGGACCTGTTGGAAAATGCCACTGGCAGCTGCTATGAGCCGTTAGCGGGGACCTCAGACGTGTCCAGCGGTCAGCCTCTGCTGGTGCTGCGCGAAGGAGCGAGTAAGGCCGAGTGTCTTAAAGGTGGGATGTTGTGGAGGGGCTATGAAGTATCAGAGGATGTCTTCCTCCTCTGTCTGTGCTGTTTGCTCCTGGCAGAAGAAACAGCTGTGTTTGGCCCCTATTTGAGCCTGGGAGGAGTCTCTGATGCACCGCTCAGGATCCTCTTCTTATTCTGTGTCGTCCTTCTAAACCTCTGGATCTTTTTATTGCTCTGCCTGTTAGCTTATTTTCCCCAGTTCCCTACTCAGCTTTTGGGAGGTGCACTGGGCTGTTTGAGTTGGAGAGTCCTGTATCAGGGCTGGTACCGGATGGGTCCAAGCTGGTACTGTCCAGGAAGGCCAGGCCTGGGACTACTCAACACTAAGAGCTGCTTGAATGGAGAAGAGAAGAAAGAACATACTCAGTGATTGATTTGAATGAGTTGTAACACTGTCTCAGGGTGGTTTTACCAAGTCAACATATATGAACAAATATGGTCTAAATTAAATGCAGTTAAGCATCTGTGTTTTTCTGTCTGGTTTGTAACTTTTGACTCAGAACAATGAAAAATACATAAAACTAAATATTTCAAAACTTATTCCCCAAATTTGTTCAGTTCATTTTATATTTGCACTTTTTTTTTTTGAATTTTTGTGAAATATTTCCAGCATATTCAGTGTTCATTTATACTGTATATATTCAGATCACTGTGCCTCATAAAGCTTTACATAAAAAAAACACTTAGATTAGATTTTTTTTTTTTTATTGGTAAAACATTTTCAGACAATATTTCAGAAAATATTTACATAATTTTACAATAAAACATTTTGCTTGTTCAACAGTTTCATAAGTGAGGCAATACATTTCTTAATGTCCTGATTATAATTAACTGGAATGAGATTTTTTCATATCTCATGATAATTCTTAACTACTAAGTAACCATTACTTAGCAGGGAAGTTCAGTTTTCTACCCATCCATCTATTAAAACTATAAAAATGATATAATTACACATGAACTGGGTAAAAGGCTGTGTAAGATTCCATTGACCACATACTTTGAAATTTGATTCACTTGGTAAACAGAGACAATATGCATCACGATTGGTACTGATGACTGAAGAGGTTTTCTGACATTTTCCATGTAACTTCAAAGAGGAAGGAAGTAAAAATCGTAATAAAATAATGTATATGGCTGCAATCAGGAGGAAGGAAAGGATGAGTCCATAGAGTCCAGTGGTTCCCAATGACAGTTCATTAAAGCCTCATAGAGTTCTTCACTGCGCTGCATAAAGTCTTTGTTGCACTGGTCCACACTACAGACAGCAAGAGGATCTAAAAAAAAAAAATGAATACAGTCAACACAATACTGCATTACACCTACTACAAGTAACACATGTATGTTCCAATCATTTTCAAAAAATCTTTTTTTTTTTTTTTCATTTTTACAAATAAATTTCACTCAGAGTTGACACAAAAAATGTGCAAAACTAGCATATTATACATATTTTAAATGTACCTTCTGTGCTCTCAACCACTGCTGGATTGGTTGCCTCTTGACTTTGCTGAGAAGGTACAAAGACAAGAAAAATTATATTATTGCTATAGTATTTGTATTTCTACAAATAGCTTTGAAAAATTAAAGTCCTTACATCTGTGGCAGCTGTTGCGTCTGTGGGTGCGGATGAGCCGCCCATGGGAGGTGGTGGCATCATGTGCCCAGGAGGGGGATATCCGTATGGACTGTAGTTGTAACTGTACCCAGTGCCATAGCCAGTATTGTAGCCACTGTTGTAGCCACTGCCATAGCCACTGTACTGATCATAACTGCCCCACTGTGGGTAGTACCCTCCGGTCCCACCTGTGCTGCCATAGTAAGGGGTTTGGGTCTGACTGTAGTTGGTATACGTATTCTGAGCTTGATAAGTGCCCACCTTTTGACTGTAAAAAACAAACATAAATAACAAGTAATAAAAGACCCATTACTTTCTGAAATACACAGACTTTGAGTCTACAAATCGTACCTCTTTGCGACAGCGATGCTCAGTCTGAGTGGCTTGCCGGCTAGCATTGTACCTTGACATTCCTCAATGGCTTTCTTCTGTTCATTCTCGTCTCCAAACTTGACAAACCCATAGCCTCTGTAAGTCAAACTAGAGTTACAGCTCCTAACCTCGAAAACACACACACTATACTTACAGTAAAAAGCCACATATAAGAAAATTTTATATGAGTATTATTATGGTAGAACTGAAACTTGTTGTTTTACTTTTAACATGTGGTAGCATCACTTGATTTGTGAGTTGCTCTTGCTTAGCCTAAATGGGGAAAACAATAGTTTTAGCATAAAATGGCAAGAAAACCGTTTTCAGCCTTTTCCGAAAATAGATGTAGATGTATTGATGTTCAACGTCCAGAGGCTATTCAAATATCACACAGCAAATAATTAATTTTAACTGAATCAAATTATATTAATAATTCAATTTTTTCCTCAAAAGTCTGACTTACCTGGAGTAGCCGTACTGGTCAGTGACTACTTTGGCTCCTTTGCAGGAGGGGAACTTCTTAAAAGCTTGGTGCAGCTGGTAGTCGTCCACCTCAGAGGCCAGGTCACCAACAAACACTGAGAACTCCGGCCTGAGCAATTAACCAGATATTTTTTATTATATATCGCTAAAGAAGTGACAGAGTTAACCAGACAGCACATGACTTACCCTGGCTCTGGTCTTTTCCCATAGGTGGCATAGTTTAGTTTGAACTTGCGGGGCTGCATGTGAAGAGGAAAAAAACAAAAACTAAGCAATCTCTCCAGACCTCAAGGCATGTAGTATGGCACTGATATTGCTGGAATAAAGAATGGAGTCATTATAGTTGTTTTTATTTAGATTTACATACCTCTACCACCCAGACCAGCCTTTAGCCCATTCCTCAGTTAGTTCCTATCAGAGACTCTATTCACCAGCTTCAAACAAAGTACATTCATGTACAGGCAGTCTCTTTGATACTGTCAGCGGCAGGTCAGGCTGGTGGACAGGGGAGCTCAGCAGACTGGCCAGCTCAGAGCATTTCAAACACAACAGCCAACTACAGCTTACTATTGCACACTCAAAACAAACCCTTATTTCAACATCATTGACATAGCATTTCCTGTTACTTATTTTGTACACTTGTTCAAAGCATAATAATACATTTTAATAATGGCAAGAATGATCGCCAGGGTAGATGAGCTCCATTATCCGCAGGCAGGTTAAATTAGTTTGGGGATATTGTGGGAAAAGAAGGTCAGATTATAGTTATATTTGAACCAACAATAATTATGTATATGTATTTTTGAGAGTATTACTAAGTATTTAGTAATGCGTAAATAAAACTAACCGGGTTGGATCCAGGAACAAGTTTTCCATTGAGACGCTGAACACAACGCTCAACACTCTCTTCGTCCGCAAGCTCCACAAAGCAGTATCCTGCAGATCCACTGTTAAAAAACAAGCCATATACATGAACAAAAATACCTTCACAATATCGATGATGACACTGGCTGTGTCTTCATGCACACTAAAGAATCTGACCATTATCTAATTTTTGATCAAATTATTGAAACATCATGTTAACAGTTCTTATTAAAGCAATATGATTTCTTTCTGATTGTTCACACACTTGTGATTGTGACAAGGAAAATTATGCAAACAAAGACAAAAGTAAAGACCAAATGTTAAAGAGTAAAATGTATTAACTGACACATAATTATTAGATTGCCTTGCGCATGTAAACACAGAGTAATAATCAGGTCTAATTATTCGATTATTTCGATTATTATCGAAATGTAAATATACGAAGTGAGAAAACATACCCTGTTATTCTGTGAGTGATGATCTTAACTCCCAGAGGTGACTCGCCCATAGCACTGAACGCCTGCTTGATGAAGTCTTCGTCCATGTATGGGTCCAGCTAAACAAAACATCCACAAGAGGAATTTAAATCAAATATGTTATACATGTATGTAATTAAACACTGTCTCGTGTTACAGTAGAAAGAAGTTAGCAAGCAATTAGCTCCTGGTAATGGGGTGAGAATTAACCATTAGAAATACACAATAATAAAACTTACATCTCCCATCCATAGACTCGTTTGTCTGTTGAACATCATGTTGTTAAGTTGTGCCGTATATCTTATAAATCTCACAATGAGACAATCCAAATTTGGGTTTCTAAAGGTGGTCTGGACGGTAACAAAATCCACTTCCGTTTCGCAGCTTCTTCTGCTTATGCTATGCCATTGCATGTTAGACAGCTTACTGCCATCTGCTGTTCAAGCAGTGTGTGAGCAGCGACACCATCCGCCTTTAATACATCTTTTAACTCTTTTAACTTTCTAATTGTCTGTTTATTTTATTTTATTATTTACTTGTGTACTTTTATAATTAACATCACAATTCCAACGCCACAACTGAAGCAAGTATCGGATTAGCCTCACTCTCTGGACCAGCCGCCAATACTTTTTTTTTTTTTTAAATCCCAAAATCCAGGGTTAAAATTTGCAGGAAATTTCTGAGTTGGAGAAACAGATAGATTGAAATGTTGCACGTGGTCACACAGTAACCATAGCAACAATAAACACCGGAAGTCTCTTTTATACAGTCTATGGTATATATATTTTTATACAGTCTATGCGGTGAACAGGGAAAGTGAAAATGACTCCAGAGCAGGAGGATTTATTCGCTTCTGTGTTTCGTGGAGATACGGAATCTTTACGGCGGCGTTTACAAGACGTCGAACCAGAACAGATAGAAAACCTGTTGTCTGGAAGTGATGAGGTTGGCCGAAGTGCTTTGATCGTGGGCGGCTTGTTGGGACGCACAGCCGCCGTGACAGAGCTGACGACTTACGGAGCTCAAGTCAACCAGCAAACAGAAAGAGGTAAATGAACTAAAAGGTAACTTAACTTAAGAGATAAATTATTATAGCATGGGACATAGAGTTTAAGAAGGAATGCGGATGTCTCTGCAAGTATTGGCAATCTAATTATGGCTGCTCTAATGCTTCTACTATAGGTCTACAATATTTATATTTAGTTTTATAGCATATTTGTTCATTTTTCAGTGACAAGGGTGATAAGGTTCATTCTTTACATTATTTTTAATCTTTAATATTTTAGACTTTCATTTTGCCCTACAGTTTATACCATTATGATCACTGTAATAGAGAATAGAGATGATGATGTTCGCTCAATACTAATTTTAACCAAGCTACTGTGAAACATATTTTGGGTGTTTTTCTAGGGTACACAGCTCTCCATCTTGCATCCTGCTGGGGTCATGTGGACACAGTGCAGACTTTGCTAAAGTTGGGAGCAGACCCCAAAGTCCAGAACTTCAGAGGAGAGTGTCCCGTTGATCTGGCAAGGAAATACTCAAGAATCGATTGTGAAAAATGCCTCATACTGGGTGGTATTTGTGTGCTTTACTGTCCATTATTCAAAAAAAATAACATTTTATTACCACTAATAATAATAAATGCTACTAAATAAACTATTTTTCTTTATACAGAGGCAAAACAGGACTTTGCTTCATACTTGGCTCATATTAAAGGTGTCATTTCTGAATCTGCAGCCAGCCTCACAAAGGATGAACGGGTACACCTGTTTTTTTTCTTTCTTAGGTCTATAAGAAACAACAAGATAAATCAGTTTAAAGCCTTACTTTGGAACATTCCAGACAAAAACAAACAACAAAAACATATCCACTGAGAAAAGTTACATACTGCATCATTAAGTTATTCAGAAATAGATCTAGTAATAAATAAATAAAGTATAATATGAACTTAATAAATCCAATATGATGTAGCTCCATATATTTAATTTAAATTCTAGATGGTGTTTAATGATTGAAAAAACAAATTTAGGGACTATGTGAGGGATTATGATAAATCACATTGTTTCTAACTGACTTGGTTAATTGTTCTAATTGCAAGCATTGGTTGATTCTTCTTCTCTGACCAGAACCTCTCGTCGCATGTGTTGGCTGCTAAGACAGAGTGGCTCCAGACTGTTACAGACCCTCAGGTATCGGACTTCACAGACCAGAGGAGAAGCTTGGACGACTCTCTTCAGCACATCTTCAACAAGCTAAACTTACGGTATGAACAGCCAGAAACCAAAATGTAGCACATAGGCCAGGGTTAAGTCACTTTTATTGCCTTATGTTTTCAGCACCTGACAGACGAAAGGGGTGTCCAGTGTTTTAAGGCTTTTTTTGTTTTGTTTTGTTTTTAAGTTAAAGCAAATGTCAAAAATAAATGGTAAACTGCCAATGTGTATAATTACTGAAACAAATTCATATAATAAACACACTTTAAACTATTATTTTTGCTCGTGTGACAAATTTTGAAGAATGAGTTTCAGAAAACTGTAGTTACATTTATAACTGATGGTTACCGAAAGTAATTTTCAAACCTTGTTTGTCTACAAGTCCATAATAATCAATCAAGTAGTTGTATATTCACTGGCAGCCATTACTATATGTACTTAAAGGAGTAGGCTCAAACTTAATGAGCTAAAATAAACATAGGCCATATTCGCATGCACAAAGACATTTTATTATAAATTCACAGCAGAGGCAGAGTGAGAGACAGCAGTTGTACAAGGATCAGGCAGTAATTCAAACCAACCGCAAAAGTCCACTGGACCATCCTCACTGAAAACATCTTCTTGTTGCCAATGGTGATAAATAACATCAAACTTACATATGACCATTGACAAAACAGTCAAGTGTGTTTAACACAACTTTCCAAAATAATTAAAAGGTTCAACATTTTGTACAAAAACTGTCAGACTCCCCAAGGCATTGTTTTTCTGCATGTTACCTAAATTGTGATGATTCACTATGTAAACTTACAACTCATTGGCATTCATCTCAAATGCATCCTGCCCAGTGTCCATAGTTTACTCGGTTTCTGTTAAGACAGTTTCACCCATGTACTCAACTCACGTGAGCAGCTGTTACTTGTTTTTGTATGTTTGTAATGTTTTCCAGTTAGAACAAGGTTAAATGTTATATACCATTATATGCTTGCATCCACAGACCAAAAAACATTAGCCTCAATTTCCTTCTTTTTACAAACATCTTCTTATTTATCTTTCTAAAATTTGTGCAGATCTTTTTATTCAGTTGCTGGTGTTTTTTTTCACAGCAGAAAAAAAAACATAGCTTATTTTATAGGGCTCCTTTGTTATTGTTATTCAGAACTTTTTAAACCTTTTCAATAGTGAGAGAATGAACTAGAGTAGATGAAGACATTTTAATAAACAAATGATTAACTTAAATTTTGTGTTCTTAAAGATGAACGCTTGTAGGTCCTTTAACAAAATGGCTTCTTCAAAACATATTACTGCTTGGCATAATACAGCATATGACACTCTAGTAAGTCCCATTTGTTCTTGAGACATAACTTTATCTTAACAGATAGCTGTCAAGTAATTATAAAATCAACATGCTAAAACTACCCAACAAGAGTTTCTTTTTTAAATATTCAGGGCTGTATTTCACTACCTTGATATCACCATTAAGGATTATAAAATACATGTAAACATTTTTTATTTTATTCACAAGGACATGAAGACTCAAGAAGTATGTTGTTGTTTTTTGCCACTTACTGTGCTTAAGGACAGTCACACAGTCCAATAGTGTGTCTTTTAGTATAGCTGTTTCTATCTGCCATCAGCTGAAGTGACTACAGTGTAATGAATGCCAGAAGTGCATCTGTAACAACCGTTTTAAATACTTCATACAAAGTTCTGTACCTGTCAAAATGAAATATTGAGAAAACATCTCCAGAAAATCCATAATCCATAATAAGGTCCATTTTGTGCTCCTCAAATGCCTCTTCTTTTTTGATGAAGTGTAATGGAAGATTTGCTGCTCTCTTGCAAATGTTTTCATCATTGTTTTTGAATGAGGGAAAACTGTACCATTGTACCAGTGGGTCTTGCCTTCAAAGTTTTGTCCATTTAGACCCACACATTGTTTAATTATTTTGCTTCAGATTTCTTCAGTAGCTCAGTGCATGTGTCAGTGCTTCTCTGGGTCCCAGGCCGGTAGTTTCTCCAGCACTGCCTTGTGGTCCACTCCCACACTGGCCACCAGCCCTCCCTTGTTCAGAGGAGTGTCTCTATAGTCGATCTCTTCCCCTTTCAGAGTAGTCATGTGACCTCCTGCAACAACAGTGAACATGTAAGCTTGGATTTTACAGGTAGTCAGAACTGAATAATGGTACTTCTCTGGATAATAAATAATTATGTTACTTTATGTTAAAGTATTTCTTTACTACAGATATCAATGTATGTTGCTATGTATTGTCTAGTCATTATCTTAATTTGTGATCAAATCTAAGTGCTTGTGTGGCTACTCAGTTAACTATGACCACAAAGTATTTTTTATTTGCAACCAGAATAATATGTGTTTAATCAACTTGTTGAAATGTGTTAAATTTGGACTACTGATCATCACGTGAATGTAAAAAACCTTACCCAGGGCTCTGAGCAGTGCATCCCCTGCACAGATGTCCCACTTCTTTATGAATGTGATGTGAATATAAAGATCAGCCTGGTCCATAGAGTCTCCAGCATGGAGGTCCAACAGAGAGAGCACCTTATATCCTGAGAAATTCACAACATCAAACAATGCACGCAAACATACCATTTGGAAGAGAAAAAAATACAAAAATAAATAAAAATAACTATTTGTATCATTACCTGCCCCACCAGCTTGTACGACTGTGGTGCTGTTCCCAAAGGCTTCATGGACGAAACTGTTCACATGTCCGGAGTGAGACCGTGAAATGATGACTTTTGGAGGCGTAATGCTGTAGGATGATCGGGCATGGACATTTGCGTCATGTCCCACCAAAGCCCAGGCTGTGAAACAAATATGTTTAAACACTTTTCTACTGGTCTTTCATAGGTCAATTCCAAGGTGGAATTCAGCACATTTGTTTGTCTGATACTAGGGCTAGGCAATAGCTCTACACCAAATGATTTTCCAGAAAATGTATTAAAACAAATACATTTTTTTTTACTTATTTACCTGTAAAGTCATTAAAAGGCTGGTGTATGACACCAATTACTGGTTTTCCATCAACAGCGACACACACCATTGTGGTGACATACTTCAGGAGACTCTCTGGAGACAAGAACAACAGGTTTAAATCAGTCTTATGGGACAGAACACTGCAGTCTACTCTGAAAAGTTTACAAAATGAAAAGAAAAAGAACAGTGTACAGTCAGACTGTAACTAGACAAAGCTAAGTCACTGGCAGCTACATTCCAAAAGGAAGTTAGCAATGGGCGTGCTTCTGGCTCCATCGACTCCAATCACTTTCTATGAAAATTAGAAACAGACAAAACAGGTGCCTATTTTGTTACTGCTTTCTTATCAACATGTTGGTGACACTGACCTAATATACTCGCAACTCTAGAGCAGCCAATCAGATAAAATGTATTCACTTTTATTGCTGAATGACATACTCCAAAGACATGGCTTTGCATAAGATTATGGAGAGAGAATCCACTATGACCTTTCTGTCCTTACAGGTGAATCCAGCGTCAGCAGCTGAATACTGAGCACATTGATTTGTGTATTAACATGCTGTGTACCAGTGTACTCCTGTGTAGCGTCTAGAGGGTCGATCCACACTGTCACACTTTCGGCCGGGACTTCATTCTGATCTTTTATTTTTTCAGCCATTTCACTGGGAATAGTCCGGCTCCATGACAGGGACTCCACAACATTATCATGCTCCTCACTGTTCACCTGCAAAAAGCATACAAGTTTATTTCAGGGATACAAAACTAAACAAATATTGTGTTTTATATAAGCGTTAATACATTCAATTGAAACTGTGTGAGTAGTTGCATTTTTAGATGATACAATAAAGGCTACAATGGAAAGTATGACCAATAAGGGTCTCTTGAGCAATGAGTACTGAAAGCTTGACTAAATGGCACTAAAATAATTATAGCATTTTAATTCTGAATGATGAATTTTTGCCACTTAATGTGCCAATTTATTTGATGACTTTCAAATTTGGAAATTAAATTATTGCAGCTAAAAACCTAAAAGAGAAAATTTACTTACTGTGACTTCAGGAAATGTGTTTCTTATGATATTGTACATTTTCCTGTGGGACTCGAGGTCTCCCATTGTTAGAGGGTCATTGGCCCCTTCTTTGGTCTTGCCTTTGGACTTCTCCTGCAGACCATTTTCCTCCCGTACCCGCTTTACCTGTCCACACAAACTCACATATTAAGTCTGATTAAAATCTTTATGATCTGGCCAAGGTAAGAAACTAACCTCTTTGCCACCCAGAACAGCAGCCTCTACGGACAGAGCCAGCAGATCTCTCAATTCAACATTTCTCCGTTGCCTGCAATAACAAAAACAGAATATAAACATAAGATTACACATGACAATAGCAAATCAGATAGCACTGAAATAGACATGTGGCATTGTTCTATAAACAGGCTTATCAACATAATTTCTGGATGGTCTGTATTTTTATTATTGTGCAAAAAAGAAATTTAGAAATTTATTTATTTTTTCTGTATTCCAACTTAAAATAATCATCCCAGAGAGCACAATGATAACAAAACAAATCTAGTTAAAAGAACCAACCTTTTTAATAAACATGTGTCAGTGATTTGTACTGAGACGATGATGGTGCAAGTGATCCATATTTGAATAATTCCATTTCATACAATTATATAGTCAAGCGAACAAGCCCAACCCCTCTGCTCCTATTCTTCACCTCCATCTCCTCTCCTTACCCCCTTATTATTATTTAGCAATTAAAAGATATTTATTTATGAATTAATTAAAATTTGATATAAAATAAAATTTAAAAAATGTGTTTCACATATTTTTATACAAATTTAAATGACTAGATAAGTTATATTTAAGATTAAAATATTAATTGTGCAAATGATATCTTATTTAAAATTGTAGCCTAATTAAGTTAATATGTAAAAGGTATTTTAATAAATATTATAATTAAAATACAAATGGAATAAAATACTAACGTAAATGTAAAATATAAATGTAATTTCATTATTCCACATATTTCTTTATTTTAAAGGTTTTCGACTTAATGCTGCTGAAGATTCAATATAAGTCTTGAAGCTGAATTGAGCCTTGTGTCTGTTTTTCCGGGTTTTTAAAGTTTGACCTGCATTCCTCAATTAAAGACTTGACATATATGCCACTTATTCTATCACTGTACTGATAAAAAGCACTGCCTAATAGATTAAACTGTGTTACTCCGACACTTTTATGACATTTGAAACATACTTCATAAAACAATAGAAAACAACGTGCTGTGGGTGAGTCAAAGATCCTATGTACACAGAGTACAGCCTACGTGTCAGATACTACAGGCGACTGTATTTTTAAACGACTCACCTGAACGCAGCCAGACGATTGGAGATGACCCCGGAGTACAGGTGGTACAGGACACCGACTCCGAGCAGGCAAAAGACGGCCACACCAAGGGGCGACAGGCGTATACCCATCGGAGCCATGGTCCCACAAAAGAGCCTCTGTTCAGTCGGTGCGATCAGCGGCGGTCCAAGATAAAGCTGGGTGACGTGGCTAAAGTGTTCCGCACTGTCACTTCACCTGGCGGCCACTTTTCACCTGAACTTAATGGGACAGACGCCAAATGCAGCTGGACGCGGAGGCAGTGCAGTTAGCCGCGTTAGCCCCAATTCGTGTCAACTAAAACACCAAAAAACGGGCAGCCTGTCGATACGCAAGGATATTTCACATCTTCAGTGATTTATTTATTTGACTGCTCGCATAACTGACACTGGTTAAATCCCGAGGAAAAAGCAAAGCTACAGTCACAAATGTGGTTCAGTCATTTTCCAGCAACACTCGACAACACTCCACTCGGCTACGTCCCCTTACGCACACGTAAAGGTCGATATTTACTTCCGGGTAAAAAAGGAAAATCTGCGTCAAAAGTTAAGTTCTACTTGTCAGTAGGGAATGACAAAGATGTTATTTTTTATAATTTATTGATCCAAATCATGCAAAATAAATGCTAATACAGTAATTTACAGTAGTTTACAATGTACAATGAATTAAGGTAATGTAAAAAAAAAAATACAAGTAGATCAGTGAATTGAGTAAATAAAGCATTATTGCTATAGAAGACTTTTGAATGTAAAACAGTATGTATTGTAAATGTAAATGTTCTTTTAAAATAGCCTATGTAAAGTGTTATAAAGTCTTATTTGTCTGTTTGTAGGACAACATCTTTCTCAGGTGGCCACTTGATGGAAATGTGATACGAGTCCAGCTCTTCTTCTGATACAAAATCTGGTGCTTGGCACATGAGGTCATGACCCCTGAAGGATTTGGGGAAAGCAATCACATCACGAATACTAGATGCTCCAACCATGATGGAGACTAGGCGGTCCAGACCTAAACCATAAAATGTACTTCAATTAATAACATATAGAATAATAACACAAATATCATACAATGTTTAGATACTGTCATCTCTGCATTACTTGCCTAAAGCAATGCCTCCATGAGGTGGCGCTCCTGAGTTGAGTGCTTCTAGCAAATGGGTCAAAAGACTGGAGTCCTCCTGGAAAACATAAGCATTTGTAACAAGTTCTAAAGTAATTAAATAATAAGAAATTGCAGTTTAAACTGTTTATACTTAAGTGTATTTGCTTAAATATCTAGAATAAATGACAAACCTTGAGTATATTCTTCAGGATATGTTGTTGCTGAATGGCTCTGTGGATTCTAATGGAGCCTCCTCCAACCTCATTTCCATTTAGCACCAAGTCGTAATGCTGCCCACGAACCTGATACATGGAAATCACCCACAAATGTTAAAGCTAAAATAATATCAAATTAGGAAAGATCCCGATGTTTCCTACTTTATGTGGTTCAGTGTACAGTAAGGCAGTATCTTCAGGGTGAGGAGCAGTGAAGGGGTGGTGCGCAGCCTCCAGTTCCTCCGGGTGCTCCTCTTTAGGCAGAAACAGAGGGAAGTCTACCACCCACAAGAAGTGAAAGACTGAGGTGTCCCGTAGTTTAACATCATGAGACTCAAGCAGATCTGCACACTGAAGACGCAGACTACCCAGCAGAGGGCGCTAATTTAAACAGCAACAAATAAGACAATTGTTAACAAATATACATCAATGGTATAATATGTTTTCATCATTTGTTTTCTTCTCTTCAGTTGCCCTAGCAATTAAGAATTAAAAACTAAAAATTAAAAGTCCTTAAAATATCAGCTATCTATGGGTTTCAAAATGCTGAAAATTTGCACTGCTGTCACAGTTGTCGGCAGCTAAAAAGGTAAAATTATGTCTTTTGAATGTTGAAATGTCCTCTTCTTGAAACATCACTGATTAACAGGAAGATGAAAGCCATAAGTATTTACTAATGTCTCACCACAGTCTGGGGGGACCCTGCCGCGATGAGCAGCAGATCTCCAGCTTTGGCTTGGGTCTTATTCATTAGATCTTCAGTTGTGGAAAGAGACAGCAACTTCTTTAGTGGAGACTTTATTGATCCATCAGCTCTGATCAGAAAAGTGGTCACCTCCTAAAGTAACAAAATTCAAATACTGTTATTTATTTTTTTTTAAATATGAAGAGAATGTGTTTATGTCAATGCTTTTTCTTTTACCTGATTAAACTGAGTCATGGCTTTTTGTTTCAAGGTCTCCAAATCTTTTCTGGTAAAAAGTTTCTGAGAAAAAACACAAAAAAACATAATTGTATTAATTAGTAGATCCATATTGGTATAAATATAGTGGTTTTTCATGATCATAATTAATTCTTACTGCTCCACTGGGGACACAAATGGCTTGAACTGTCCCTCCTGAATGAACCAAAGCTGAATGTAGAAACTCAACATTTGTAGAAGAGAAGACTTCACTCACATCCATCAGCTAATAAATAGAGACAGCACATAATAAACATAATAAATTAACTACAGCTCACAAAGGACTTTCTAATAAACTAAAATACAAATATTTACCTTCATGTCAAACCTTGTGTCTGGTTTGTCCACACCATAGTTCCTCATGGCTTCTTCATAAGTCATCTTTTTAAATGGGACTTCAATGGCACCTTTCTCTTTGGGCCAGGAGTGTTGTAAGAGCCCCTCCACCAGAGCTATGATCCCGGACTGGTCCACAAACGACATTTCTATATCCACCTATATCCACAAGATAATAGACAATGTATGCATACTTATAATTCGTTCTGTAGCACATTCAAGGTAAGAATATTGTGAAATGAACTTAAGAGTATATTAGACACAATTATTTTCTACTTTAACTATGGATCATGTGTCCACAGTTGTGTTCAAATATCAAATGAATAAATGAACAATACAACAGAGACATTTTTTGTATTTGTGCAGAGAAAATTTTACCATGGCATGTTACAACTCATTCAGATTTAATGATGTAAAAGTAAAACCAAGTAAAACCTGTGTGAACTCTGGTTGTCTGTCTGGTTTAGAGCCTTCATCTCTGTAACAACGAGCAATCTGAAAATACCTAGAAGAGAAACAACAGGATTGGTTAACCTCTTCTGTGTTATATTTCATCTCTCAGTTGTCACTTAAGTGTCTGAACTGACCTGTCGACTCCAGCCACCATCAGGAGCTGTTTAAACTGCTGTGGGCTCTGAGGCAAAGAGTAAAACCTACCCGGCTCCCTGGATGGGACAATGAACTCTTTGGCCCCCTGAAACAAAAATAGGTCAAGGTACAGCTCTGATCAATGGAGAGGCAACTCCGTTCAATGTTAAAAAGTCTGCAGTGAATAAAATAATTTGAACTTACCCCTGGAGTCCTCTTGAACAGAGTTGGTGTTTCCACATCAACAAATCCTAAAAGCAAAAAAACATAAAACAAGTTCTTGAACAACCCCTCGCACATATTAAAGCTAACAGAAAACTGCTTTGTAAATACGTCCATGTCCTCTCACCGTGCAGGTTACACAAATATTCTCTCATCTTCATCACCAGCTCAGAACGCAGCCTGAGGTTCCTTTGCATCCAAGTAGACCTCAAGTCCAAATAGCGGTATTGCATCCTCAAAGACTCTGATTTCTGATCCAAAGAAAGTGTAAATATATGCAAAAACAGTCTCATATTTACAATACAAACAGACCTATGCACCTTTACAAAGTCTTTAATTTCAAATGGGAGCGTCTTGCTGATGTTTAAGATCTCTATGCTCTCTGCTAAAACTTCAATTTGTCCAGTGGGCATGCTCTGAAAGAAAGAACAAATTAAAGAAAATGTTTGTTATGAATCTCCATGGTATCAATACCATGAGGATGAGCTTTTATAATATTGACACTCATTTATTGCACTGGATTCTCACAGCATCAAATAGATCATAAATAGATCATTGTTTGCTTAGTAATTATGCCTACCATGAAAGATCTTATATAAAGTCTGAAGTTTATTTCAATACATGTATGTCGTACCTAGTATTTAAACTCTTGTAATCCTGTAATCTACTTTTTGCACTAGAAATTGTTCTGTGTATCCCAAAATATCAGCCTAGTAAAGTAGGACATAACCAGGGAGCACTAAACCTTATACAAACATATTTTCAAATAAGAAGTCCCTTGTTTTTAAGCTTTCTACAATGTACAACTCCACTTTATACTTTCATATCGTGGCATATTTGGTCATAGTTATCGTACAGTGGGAATTTTTTCCTGTCCCATCCCATGAGTATAAATCTAAATTACCTTGTTTTCCTGTCCTGGAGGTCTCGACTGAACAGTTCCTGTAACTTTGATTACAGACTCCACTGGGATATTGCTCAGAGCTTCCTTTACATGAGGCACTGACTGGAAAAAACAACAGATTGATAATTAAGCACAAGAGTGTGATAAAATCCATATAAAAATTGAAATATCGTACTTCTTCTTGCGGAATTAAGATTTGAGTCAGGCCTCCAAAGTCTCGCAGAATGATGAAGAGGTCATGTCTGGTGATTATGAATGCGACAAGTACAATAGTAAGTTTAATTAATTATAAACAGTATTAAGTAAATATCTATATATACCTCCTGTACTGGACCCAGCCACAAAGAGTAACCTTCTCTTTGACGTGAGTTGATCTGAGTTCTCCACATGTGTGTGTCCTGAATGACAGACTGTTGACTCCTGAAGGCATTGCAAAAAACAGCCGAGTTGTTTAATGTACTTTTTAATCTGTTCACAAATACAGATGACCACATCTTTTTCAACTTAGGACCATATTTCATTCATTTCATATTTAATTTGTTGTTCATGATGTTCACAAAGTTTCACAATGGATTAAGTATAGTTTTTATATAGTTTTAGTTATAGTTTAACTGGAGACAACTGAATGCCTGTTTCCTACATTAAAAGTTAAGCCTCATTTAAACCAAATTAAAGGTACACGATGAAGAACAACTTCCTGCCTGTCTCAGCTGAGATTTTTATTGCTTTCCCTGGAATGTTCCACAGCATGGCATTTAACTAAGCATTATGAGCAGACCCACAGATCTGACCCATGGAAATATATTATCTGACCTAGCTTGACCTGATGGTGACCTGCTTGTGTCCATGGGGGTAGATCCCAAGCAGAGCAAAAACATGAACATGGAGACAAGCAAAAGTTAGTTCCAGTGGTGCTTTTTATAGCTACAAAATAGTCTGTATCAGGTCTGTATCATCATCATCATCAAGAATCTCAGTTTGTGTGTTTTATGTCTAGAAAATAGAATAAAGCCTTGGTTTGTTCACCTGTACTTGCAGTTTGAGATGTGTACCAGCGTGACTGCGGTATCCTTGGGACTCTCTCTGCATCTTTGACCGACCTGTGCGCCAAAGTTGTGCCCAGATTAGAGCTCTGACAGCGGGCAGTGTGAGCTTTGAATCCGAAGAGAAATCTGACAGCCAGTATCCTGCTTCTAGACGCCATCTTCTTTTATTTCTATTGATTGCTTCACCGGGATCACACCCAACACCATTTGTATTCTGGTTTCAACATTGACAGCGGCACCAATGTTCCCGTCATTAAGCGCATATCACATTCCTCATGATTGGTTTTAAGTGTGTCTTTAGTGGGTTCAAGTGTCCGCTGTTCTTGGACCCTCGTATTGTTTAGGTAAGACGAGGCATTTTCTTGTTTATTTGACCGACAGCGGTAACTTTGTAAATGAAACAAACGTGAGCACGGGCAGCGCCATATTGGATCCAGACAACACTAATCGATTCAGTTTTACTCATAGAATAGCGCCATCTGATGGTGACAATGGGAAAAGTTGAACACTCAGAATTTTCAAATATTATACTTATACTTTTCTCACCCGTCCATGTACCAAGTAGTTGTCAGAACATTTAAAAAGTAAAAATGGTATAAACATTTCTGGTGTTACTCGTGTACTCCCGGGTACACACCATGGAAGTATAATGGTACCATAGACTGTGTGAATGCTACAAATTTGTGGGAGCAGAATCAGAGAATGGACTTGAGGATTTCACAACCACACACTTGGCTCTCGCAGCTTTTGAGACGGGTAAAAAAGAGGGTTAAAACATATATAAAAATATTGAGCGACCATGAAAATTTAGACCAAGATGAATAATTATGCTGCCAAATAATATTTAAATAATTATAAATAAATAAATAAATAATGCAAAAAATAAATTTGCCATATTATACTATTAATTTATTCACTACTCTGATTGAGAAAAGTTTGTTTCAAAGTGTCTGGTGTTCTGAGAAGCCTACTGCATTTGTCTTCATGACATTTAATTGGATAATGTTAGGCCATTAATTGTGAAAAAATGTAACAAAATTTGAATCACTACATCTGCTGAAAAAGAAAAAACTAAGCCGACGTAGGTATTGATGTATTGATGTCCACGCGCGCTGTATTTATCGGTTTTGACCGGTGTCGCTCTGCCCCGCGCTCTTTGGGCGCCCGGAGGAGACTGCCATGAATCTATTGGTGGTTTTCAGATTTTATAATGTGATGATGCCATACTCCTAGATGGGGGCAAGGGCCAGCTTTCCCATTTGATTATATTGTACTTTGTCATGGAATAGCCAAAAGATAAGTCCACAAATACTTAACCTGTGGTCATTTTTACTATTTGCTAGAGCCAAGATTTCACTGTATTACAACAAAAGTCTGCTTTTTTACAGTATTTATTTTAGCTGCCCTCCATCTGTATTAAATATTTTTGGCCTATAGAATGCTGTGATGTGATCTGAAACTCAGCAGTATGAGATTCAGATCTTACAGATAGACACAGTGATGCGAAGTGTATTGTAGGAAATAAACTGCCACACACTGGGAGCACTGGGATAGAGAATCGGCCCTTTTCTTCGTAATGATGACATTGCATTACTTGCAATGTCCCACAGTGTGGCACAAAACTTTTCTATCACTATGGAAACAAGGTGATGTCAACAGGCCAAAGGAAGTCAGATTTATAGAGTGGAGATACCACTTACAAGAAGAAGGCATGTTTATTAAGGATTTTCTTTTTTTTAAATAAAACCACAGCTAATTGGAAAGAGACAACACCAGCAAAGCAAGAACACTTCACACTCCTCTCCACCAGGTGACGCCCCTGACCCAAACACTTAAATACTGCGCAGGACGAAGTTGGCGTGCAGCAGTGGTTCTGTGGTGTGCAGACTGTCTGTGGTACAGAGTTGAGTGAACTGTCTGTAAATTAAAAGTGTGGACATGTCGGGCAGCAAGCTGATGAAAGCGATCCGAGTGAGTGAGTTTGGAGGTCCGTCTGTGCTCAAACTCTCCTCCGATGTGAACGTCCCCAAACCTGGACCCAAACAGGTGAGACCCCCTCTTATCTGTCAATGTTTAGATTTCTTCTCAGCAGCACTACCCGTGGACTGTGGACTACTGGGACTTCATGTAGCTCAAATATATACATATAAAATATATCAATATAACAATATTATATATATAGAGAGAGAGAGATGTATAGATATAGATATAGATATAGATATAGATATAGATATAGAAATATACACACATTTCACCTCTAACCATACAAAATTACAGTTTAACCTGTTCTTTTCATTTGGTGACAATTTCAGTGTTGATAATTAAACTTCTTAAAGGTGCATTGCGTACTTTTTCCAGTGGAGGTGGATGGATATGTCATTGCTCTGCCTGGATTGTTCCACAGATTGGCATTATACTCTCCTGCTTTATATTTAGTCAATTAAGAAATATCTGGCATTCTGTTTATGAGCAAGGTTCCCTCTCCATAGATCTGACCTGTAACTTGGTCTGGTTTGGTCTTCATGAATATAGAAAGGTTTAATACCAAGGTTTAGTACCATACTGTAAAACATTCCAGACAAAGCAATAACATCTTCATAGAGGAAAGTATTAGTTAAGTTATAGTTACGCAATGCACCTTTAAACTCAAAAACTTAAACATAGTATATTTACATTTTCTACTGGTACTATTGATATCTAACCTGGCTCACCCCAGATTGATATGTGTATCACTCTGAACTGAGTTCTACATTCTCTTGAGTTTGTGAACTCACAAATAGTGCAAGAATCCATCTTGCTGCACAAGGTTAATCAATATCACCTCACATCTTTCATAAATATATGTGTTATATGTTGTGTGTTGTAGGTCTTGATTCGAGTTCATGCGTGTGGGGTGAATCCAGTGGACACGTACATTCGGAGTGGGACATATGTTAGAAAGCCTGCGCTGCCCTACACACCAGGGAGTGATGTGTCGGGGGTAGTGCAGGATGTGGGAGAGGGAGTGTCTGGCATCAAGGTCAGTCACAGTGACACAGCAGTTTATTTATTTGTTATTCATTAAGGAGGACCACATTTACACAATTTCACCACAGTCAATAACCGAATCATTTTATCAGATGGATTAGATTGATTATGTTTCTATCAAATACAAATACAATTACAAAGTCATTGTTTGAGCATGGTTTTGTTTTTATGACTCTTTAAGAATACATTCATGTCCTTTCATTCTCGTTACCTCTACAGGTGACTGAACATTTTGACAAAACCCTTTTTAAAAGCATTGATCACTTAGTAGTTATTACCAAAACTGATTATGGTGTAGACTTGGTTTATCCCTTGTCTAGTTCAGGTTTAGATCTGTTAGATGAGAGTTTGATGTTTTGAGACAAGAATCATGTTAAATTCACATATAAGTTGATAAGGGTTTAAACATGTTTGAGAGACAAGAACGTTGTCTTTATTAATCAGGCTATTACTAGTTGGTTAATATCTTAATTTGTTTCTTTATATCTTGACAGTTAATTTTGATTTTATAACAGGTTATGAAATAATTTTAGTGGGGATTATTGTTTTTTGTTTTTTTTAGAAAGGAGATCGAGTTTTCAGCACCTTCACAGTGACTGGAGGCTATGCTGAGTTCACTGTTGCTGCTGAAGACTGTGTCTACAAACTGCCCGACAATTTAGATTTCACTCAAGGAGCTGCCATTGGAATCCCCTACTTCACTGCATATAGAGCTCTAGTTCACAAGTACGTCAAATGAATATTACTTACTTCTGATGTTATTTAATGTTCACATGTGATGTTGTTTCAGAGCAAGAGTCAAACCAGGGGAGACTGTGCTCATCCATGGAGCCAGTGGAGGAGTAAGTCATACATTTTATCCTGATGCAAGAATTGAAATAATGTTTACATTTCAAATGGCAAAATAAATAAAAATATGGTAAGTTAGGAGTGAGTAGGTGGTATAATTTAAATTTTGTGTTCATTTACACTGGGTTTATGTGAAAGTGTTGTTATAACTATTAGAACAGTTAAAAATCCATATTTGGTTTGCAGAATAGAAAAGGAAAACAGGGTGTAAGTGCCTAATTTGATTCAAAATCTTAGGAGCACTTAAAGGTGCACTGTGGAGATGTTATTGTTTTGACTGGAATGTTCAACCGTATAAAACATGTGTATATGGCTGCCTTTTTAGCCTGTGGCACGCATTCACCTCTCCACAGATCTGACTTCTAACTTGGCCTTGTGGTCTTTTCTCTATGACGATGGACCAAATTAATGCCATATTGTAGAATACTTCAGGCAAAGCAGATTGTGGTGTTACATAATGTGACTTTAACTTTATTTTTGTCTCATAAATCCAATGATTCCTTTCTGTGTAGGTGGGAGTCGCAGCATGTCAACTGGCCCGGGCTCTTGGACTCAAAGTTTTGGGGACTGCAGGGACCCCAGAGGGACTCAAGCTGGTTCTTAATAATGGGGCTCATTTGGCTTTCAACCACAGGGAGGACGGGTACACAGACAAAATAATGGTATACTTAAAAATACGGTCCACTTATGTACTTCTTGTTGTTTGACCTGAGGGCCTGAGAGAGTGGCAACAGGTCACAGAACCACATACTCTATACAACACCTCACCCTTATGTACTAGATGTCTTCATTATTTCATCTGTGCAGCAGTTTCTCCTCCCTGGATTTTTGTATATAGCTGAGATATATTTATATTCTGTATGTCCATTCCATTAATTTTTTTCTTTTTGTTATTAATATCATATAATAATTGCATTGTGTGAGCTACTGTGTCCAAATAATGTCCAATATGTGAGTTACTGTGTCCAAATAATTTTCTCTTGTGGAGCAATGAAGTTTGTCTAAGTTTAAGTTAAATAAGCATATGCAAGTAATTTTATGTTTGTTGGTTGGGTGTAGGAAGCAACTGGTGGCGAAGGAGTTAATGTGATTGTGGAGATGCTTTCAAATGTGAATCTTGATAAAGATCTGAAGATGTTGGCCTATGGAGGACGAGTTATAGTAAGTTAAATGATGATCTTTTAATTGTTGCAAAATTGCACTGTATTGTATGTAATCAGTATTGTTTTTGCTTTTGCAGGTGGTGGGCGCTCGAGGTTCCATTCAGATCGACCCCCGGGATACAATGACCAAAGAGAGTTGCATCATGGGAGTGGCACTTTTTTATGCAACACGGGTATGAAACACTGACTGTTCTTTATATCTTTTACACGCATGTAAAAAGACAAAGTTATGAATGCAACAATTACAGATTAGGCTCATAGTTAATATAGTCATATTAAAATGGATACTTCAAGTTGTACTGGCTGGGGGGTTTTTTGTACAGTAATTTCAGGCTTGGTGAAAAGTCTCCAAATGATCTCACTTTTTTCTTCAATTATTTATTTAGGCTTGATTTATTTTAAGTCACAGAATTTTATAATACAATATTTTGCAACTGCTTAAATTTACAATACGGTAATTAAGAATATACATTGTAGATAATTAAGTGTGGTGCTGTTTGCAGGAGGAGCAGATGGAGTGTGCAGCGTTCCTCTTCTCAGGGATGGAGGCCGGATGGCTGAAGCCCACTGTGGGACCTCAGTATCCACTCCAAGAGGCACCTCAGGCTCACCACGACATCATAGAGTGTCCTGGAGCTTCTGGGAAAATGGTCCTCACTATGAAATAATGTTATCCATCTCAGGGCAGAGGTCAGGTCAGAATCTAAAATTATGATCAGTATAATAATAAGAATATAATGAATAGTAAAAAAGGATAATTCACTAATGCCATGCTCGTAATATGCTATCATCATGTGGTGCTGGTTTAAATTAATACTTTTATACTATGGCACTGGTTTTTACAATTTTCACACCAAGTACTTGATTTCTTTTAGATGATATTAACTATCATACCTGAAGACACGATAAATGTTACTGAAACAATGTACTCAACCAAATGAACCATTAAGAAATAGATTTCATTGATTTGATGGCTAGACAAAAATGCTATAACTAGTTAATGAAGAATGCCTTTCACTCACTTTTGATCACTTTTTAAATAATAAAACACTATTTTGGTTTTGTAATTTATAATGAAATAAAAATACAATGATTAAAAAGCAAATAAAGTCAAAATACAAGACTTGCGGTCAAAGGCTCATTTATCCTACACTGGACATGACATCTGTGACTCAGGTGACACCAGGCCTTACTGAGCATGCTCAGTACACGGCCAGGTAACAGGAGCTACAAACAGGCCAACAGCAGACAAGCTAGTGCTGCCTAGAATCTATGGAGGGTCAAAAAGACATCTAGTGAACTCGTCGAAACGTATGACTGAAGAGGAC